TCCACCACCCTATTTGTGAACCAGTTCCTTCCTATCTCCCTCGTAAACCTAAACTTATCCAACTTAAATCCGTTGCTCCGAGTCCTATCCTGCTCGAATATTATAAGAACTTTATCTATATCCACTTTATTGATTCCTTTCACCCACTTAAATACTTCTATCATATCTCCCCGCACTCTTCGTCTCTCTAGGGAATGCAAGTTTAGTTTCTTTAACCTATCCTGATATAGAAGATTTCTATGTCCCGGAATCATTTTCGTCATTCTTCGCTGCACCGGCTCTAGTGAATTGATATCCATTCTATAATATGGGCACCAGAACTGAACCGCATAATCGAGGTGCGGCCTGACTAGCGCAAGATATAGTGGCAATAAGACCTCTGCACTCTTATTACTTACACTTTAGATATAAAACCCAATACTCTGTTTGCCTTATTTCGAACATTAACGCACTGTTTTCTAGGCCGTAGGTCCGGGCTTACAAGTACCCCTAGGTCTCTTTCACAAGTCGACTTCTCTAGGTTGATGTTGTTAAGGCTGTATACATTGACAGTATTTGTTCTTCCAATATTAAGTACGCTGCACTTGCTGGTGTTGAATTTCATTTGCCATTTTTCAGACCACCCCTGCAGTTTATTTGGATCCTCCTGTAATGCATTTGCATCCTGCCCTGAATTAATTTGCCGCCCTATATTGATGTTATCCGCAAACTTGCTTATGTCACTGGTGATCCCAGTATCTAGATCGTTTATGTAGATTATGAACAAGAGTGGGCCTAGCACTGACCCCTGGGGAACCCCACTGGTTACACGGCCCCACTCATATTTAACACCATCTACGCTGACCCTCTGCGTTCTATCGGTGAGCCATGATTTTATCCAATTTAAAACTTTTCCTGTTCTAAAAAGGTTCTGAGTCTGCCGTTGACTATTTTTTCTAGTATTTTGCCTGGTGTTTCTAATGATGATATAGGTCTGTAATTTTCCGGCCTTGTTGGGTTTTCCCGGGTTTGGGTAGGAGTCTCATTTTGGCTGTTTTGAAAATCTTGGGGAAGTGTCCTGTTGCTAGTGAAGCGTTAAAGATCTGTGTAAGTTGTTCTATCGGTATTGTGGGTATGTTTTGAAGGACCGTTTGTTTATCTGACATAGTCCAGGTGCTTTATTTTTAAAACTGGCTATTATGTTTATTATGTCTTTTGTGGTGATTGGCGTGGTTAATGTGTCTGCACTGTTTAGTAAGTTGAGGTCAATTGTTCTTGGTGGTTGCCATTTCTCTGTGTTTAGTGTAAGGTGTGTTGTTACCATCTGTTCTGTTACTCTACAGAAGTTTCTGTTTTCTTCTTCTGTGATTTTATATACGTTGCTCCTAAATTTCTGAAGATCAGTTCCTTGTCTACAGATTCTGTAGCTTTTACCCCGTTATCGTCTATAAGATGGCTGTTATCTATGGAGTTAGTGCCCATTAGGTTTTATATTTTACTCCAGAAAAGTTTTGGGTTGTGATAGTCGGCCTCTGTGTTTGTGATTAGCTGGTTCCATTTGTCGTTGTGTGATTGTTTGCATATTTATTTCAGCTCTTCCTTTAGGTTTCTGAAGAGAGTTATTATTTCTTGGTTCCAGCCTTGTGTATTTGTATGTTCTAGTATATTATTCAGTCTTGTCTGGATTATCTTCTGTTCGTGTGTTAATTGTGCGTGGGGTAGTGTGCGGTAAGTTGTTTTGGGGGTGTTGTTTTCCATGGCTGTAGTGACATTAGTGGACCATGTTTCCAGGGCTATGTCAATGTCTGCTGTGTTTTTGTTATGTAAATGTATTTGTTCGTTTGAGTTGAGTTCTGCCTTAAAACCCTCCCAGTTTGCTCTGTTGAAAGAGAGTCTAGGGATGGAGGGGATTTGTATTGGTGATGTTGACAGAGTGATAATTATGGGCAGGTGATCGCTAGTGGTGGTTGGTCCAGGTTTCATGTGTGTAATCAAATGGTGGTGTCTATTGGTCAGAACTATATCCGGCTTCCCGGTGTTTCCTGCAGCTGTGTAGGTTTTAAAATCTGGGCCCAGGTGTGTGATGTTGCCGTTTTCTTATAAGTCGTGTATAATCTTCCCCCTTGGGTTTCTGGTTCTGTGTCAGAGTATGCTGGTGTGTTACGTCTCATTAGTTTTAGTAAGTCATCAGTCGGGAATGTTTGTCGTCGGCAAGGTAAATATGTTGTTCCAATTGTTATTGGGCCTTTAGTTGTATTGATTTCGACTGCTAAGAAGTCGGTTTGGAAGTTGTCTATGAGTTTGTATTTGATGTTTCTTTTGATGGCTATTGCTGCTCCGTCGCTAAATTCTTCGTGTGTGTTCAGTTGATGTGTGTAATAGTTGAAGAGTTTTATTTTGTCACTGTTTTTCCGTCCGTGTGAGTTTATGAGAATTATGTCTGGGTCTATGTTGTTGTATATGTTTGTTAGTTCTGCTTTTCTTGTATATATCCAGGCCAGGACGTCGTGTTGTATTATTTTCAGCGTTCTGTTTTGCGTAATCGTGGGTCGCGGGAACTTGGTGCGTGTTGCTTGGTTGCTTCGGTCTCTCCGGGGGAGAGTCTCTGTCGCTTCTCCTTCAGTCCTGTTCTTATTTTCTTGAATTTTGATAGGTCTACGCTCTCGATTTTGTTATATTTGCTGCTTATTTTTCCTCCACGTATACGGCTGGAGTAGGGGCTTATATACATGTCCAGCGGACGTGGGGCGGAAGTAAGTTGCCGGTGTCGACCCCCCCCATGTCTAGACTGGTCCGAGAAACTTGCGCACTCTTGACGACTACTACGCTTTGGCAGAACTCCGTTGCTATGGGATACGGTTACGCTGTTGTAGGGGAGAGATCCACTACAATATATATTACTGTCAGAATAACCATCTAATTACTGATAGGTACACACGTTCCATAAAAATATCTCTACGATTTTATGCTTGACAATAATTATGACACAACGGACGAAGGATTTTGACAAACCCTACCGAGACAACAGGAGTCACAATTTTTGTTCATTGTGAAATCAATGGATCCTCCGTGAAGATACTGTTTGGGGAGTGTGTGTGATACTTAACAGAATCTACTCTTATATACTCCTGGTTAGTTACAGCAGTTTACAAGTCTTGACAGGAGTAAGTGTGTTGATAATGACAGTAATATATGGCAATGATGTTAACATTTAAAATTTAATTATAAAACTATAGCGATTATTTAAAGATTATCTCCATCCCAGCTTAATTTACCTGATGATTTAAACACCCTAAAGTTACCTGGTGGGTCAGGTTAGGTTAAATTAGGTTAGTTTAAGTTAAGATAGATTATTTTAGGCTACGTTAGCTTAAGTTATGCAGTATTATGTCGTGTTATGTTCTGTTATGTTTCGTTAGATTAGTTAAATGTTATATCGTGTTATTTTAGGTGAGGTAAGTTAGGTTAGGTTAAGCTAGATTAGATTATGTTATTTCATTATGTTATGTCATGTTAGGTTACGTTAGGCTATGTTGGTTGCGTTGTAGAGTGTATATTAGGTTACTTAAGGCTATATTGGTTACGCTGTAGATTATATTATATTAGGTTAGGTTAGAATAGGTTAGGTTAGGTTAACATTACGCTGGTTAGGTTAGGTTAACATTACGCTGGTTAGGTTAGGTTATGTTAGGTTAGGTTTATGCTAGGTTGCGTTAGTTGGTGAAATAAGCCGGGGCTAATCTTCAGGCGATATCAGAGTAGCTTTTCTTCATATTTCACACTCTGGACACAATATTAATTCTACACGTGGCTCCTCACTACCTGGTGGGGGGAGGAAACAAGAGCCAGGTGTACTGTATCGGGTTCTGAAGGTGGTGGCTGTGACCTGCTGGGGGAGGAGGTGTGAGGTGTTGAGGCCTCGGCAACATCGTCTTTAAAGATGTTGGGTTGATGTTCAGTGGAGGTTACGAGGAGATGTAACACACACACACACACACACACACACACACACACATACACACTTATGTTATATGCACAAACACACACGTACAAATATAGACATCCTTTCTCTTTCTCACTCTCTATACCACACACACACTCTCTCTTTTTAACACACACACATACATACTCGTTATTGCACAAACAAGCTCACAGATACACCTCCCCTACACATACACAGGGCCAAACACACGTATACATACACACGCACATCACTAACCTAGCTACCATCTCATCGCGTCTCGGCTGAGTATTGATTTATTGCAGGTAACACCCCAAATGCTATTGATTACAGGTGAAACTAGGCCAGCATGTGTTCTGAAACCCTGACTAGATTTTTATCCGTTTATAACACCTCGAGTTATGTGTTTCGGGTAAAATCCTGTTATGTAAACTTAAAAATTTAGTTTAATGGTTAATTTTTAAGAGGTTGGCACTCCAATCAATAAGAAAAATGGAAAAAATGGGCTCTTGAATTTTCTAGTAAGAAGACACTCGAGCGAGAAACTAGCAAAGTAGGTAAAATGATCATGGCTGGGTAGTTTCTGTGATCGCCGGCACCATCATGTGCTATCAATTTGATATCAAACTCCGCCCCATGGCACTAGCTGGCCATTACGGGAGGGCGGCGGCGCAGGGCTCGCCAGTAGTGACGTGTGAGGGCCCCACCACGCTATCAAACTGCTATCATTGGTGGATCACGGGGGATCACACTCCGCCTCTATGATAGCCACGCCTTCCATCCTCACCACCCAGCCAAACTTGCGCATCTATTGGTTGCCACCTCGCATCACCCGGCACTCAATACACCCAATACACTGATATTCCACCCTTTAATTAGTATAATTCACCATGATTACAAAATATACCATCAATTTAAACATCTTTAAATACGGTACCAAGAATACAATCGCTGCGTTGAGTTATTAGGTGCATTAAATGGGAGTATAATTAGCAATAATCGGGCGTGATATCGCTTGTTTACCTTGGTGACGTCTGGCAGTGCGGGCCAGGCCGAGGCTCGCGCTCAACACTCCCTCAGTTGTATTCCGTAGTCCGTGTGACGTAGTGTGTGTCCTTCCTTAAAACTTTTTGATTTACGCAGTGGTTCCACAAATCCGTCAAGATTCGGGTCAAAAACAGAGAGCCCGTTCCCGTGTACCAGATGGAGCACCCGGAAATTGAGGACGACGGTCGCATGGTGAGTTGGAAGCCGAGTTTATAGGTAAATTAAGGAGGAAAGCGACGACCTGCGGGAGGAGCGACGGCCCTACAAGGGTTTGTTTTGGTTTGTGAAATTGTGAACATTCCTGGAGAGGCCCACGTGGGTTGTGGCGTGGGCGTTGCTGTGGGCGGTGGGCGTGAGCATGTGTTGCGACTTTAAAACGTTTGCAGATGAAACTGAGGGAAGAATTATCGCGAAAATGAAGTTTGTTATTACTGAAGGATTGTATTGTTGTTATAAATAACTGTTGATATTTATCGATATTGACCAATAAGGTTATATAATAATATTTTAGTTGTGATGTGGCTGTAATGACATAATAGAAAATACGAATTTAAAATTTTTGTGCAAATTAAAATTCACATTGCAAATTTAAAATAAGTTATAAATTAGAGGATTTTACAATAGGTGATTTAACAGGATGGAATTCACGGGTATCGTCACTAATTGACTCCATACAAAATACTGGTGTTAAGGAGACGACACTGTAATAAAGGAATGATAAGGATTAAAATTTGCATTAGGAAGTCTGTCAAATATAGAAATAACAAACCGGTACGGATAAATGTTCTAGCGTTCATGAAGTTAACTCTACCCCCAAAAGTGTGTCTATACTTGTGATTCACTTTATCATACATTTAAATAATTACACTGTCTTGAGCTTGTCACCCTCTACACATAAAGTACACTGATCTTGCGTCACTGTTGTGTGCTTGATGATGTGTAGTAATGTATCTTGAGTAGTATATGTGTAGGTGAACTGCTGTCACGTTGAATTATGTGTACCATGAGAATTATTTACAGAATCATAATTTGATACAGTAAATTTCACGTAACCTGGGAGGCTGGAGGCAGGCAGGTGAGGCTTAGGGGGAAAGTTGAATTTTTTTTATTTCAGATAACGTAGTAATTTTTACAATGTAGTTTTAGTGTTTCCAGCTGCAACACAAACTAAACTAATCGCATCTAAAATTATGGGGTGTTGTATAATTATCATATCCTGCCAGTTATAGTATTTACGTTTGATGAGGTTTGAGGTGTGTGAGTCGAGTTGCCACGGATACCCCAATAGGCTACAACGTTACGCAGATATTTTTTTCGTACAGTATTTTAATTTACCTGCATTTATTTCACCTTTAACTATCATGCCTGTCGTAATTATTAAACGTCTTTAGGTGTCTTAACTAATTGGAGGAATTTTTAAATTGGTGACGTGAAATCCAACGTTGACTCTACGATATCAAATTGACTGTGAGTGGCGAAGGAGTTCATTTAACACCGAACTAGAGACAAATAGAATGGTGTTTATAATTTTGTTGGCGGACCTGAAAGTGAGAATCTGAAGTTCCTGTTATATTTATTATAAGGTAATTATGATTGGCAGACGAAGAGGAGAGCATGACTGTAGGGCAAAGTTTATAAAATAATTGAAAGTGATTCTATATATTTATGAAATGGTTCGATATTTTGTGAAATGATTTGAGGCCTAACAACCTAACATGACAGGAGTTCTTAATATTACTGTGTAGTCCTGGATATTAGATGTAATATAATCAAACCTTTACCATAGACAATAATTTTGTTACATCAGGTTATGGGGAATTTTAATTTTGGATATAATTAATACAGGTGTAATTGTACAAAATAATACAATATAATAAACAACTACAGGTCACAAGCTTAGGTACAAGATAAGTAAATAGATTGTAATCAGTGAAATCATAATACAAGTTGACATTTGTTTATCATGTATGTATGTATGTATGTATATAGTTCATGTATACAAACAATGATAAACAGTTAGTCGAATCAGCCAAATAATGTAACAATCTCTACGATGTCTCAGATATAATAAGGTAGAAACACGGAAGAAAAATATGTATTTTTTTTCCACCTTTGATCCACCTGTCTTGACGTGCAGAGAGCGTGTTGAGGACGTCGGCTTATAGTACATATACTTGTTCCCCCATCTAGTGTTTAAGAGACCTTGTCATCCCCGAGTGAAAGTTGTCACATAAGATGCGCCTCTTAAACACACACACACACACACACACACACCAAGTACTTAGGTTAAACTCCAGTGTTTTTATTCATCAGTGTTGAACGGAGAAGAATAGACTTATGGTGGTGGTCAGGTCAGCTCAGCGTCCAGATGGTTATCCTGTAGTAATGTGCTGAGTGTGTGTTTTGAGTAGTATGTAGTTGGTATTCATGAATGTGTGTATGTTTGGGCAGTATGTTTGTATGTGTGTATTTCGAACGGTATTATTTATGCGTGTGTGCGTCCTGAAGGGTATGCATGTATGTGTTGTGAATGGTGTGTGTTTTGAGGAGGGTGTGTGTGTGTTATCGGGAGTCAGGTAGAAGTGTCAGGTAAGGTCTTGCTGGTGACTACACGACAAAGAAGTCATTGATGGATAATTTGTATGAATGACTGTCGTTATAGATTAATAACTATTTGGATAGCTTGTTTAAAAATATATTATACATATCATTATGATTATTAATATTATTTGTTACTTGCATATTCATTACAACTAAAAAAAAAATGAGTGAAACGATTTGAAAATATGAGAAAATAATAGACTGAAGATAAGAAGGGCTGACAAATAAATCACTTGTAAAAGTTTATGAGTTGAAGGAAATTATAAATAACGGTACGGCATGATAACAGCCCCTTACCGTACAGCTACTGGGCAACACCTCGCTGCCCTCAACAATCTGCTGGAGAAATTTGATCGTATGAACAGGACCGGATTTACCAATAGGCCAAGCAGGCCATTGGACTAGGGCCCACCGTTATCTGGGGGCCCACTGAAACTAATTTGTCGCGCAGCGTGCCAGCATATAACCTTGTTTCAAGTGTACACCGTATATTTCATTATATAATATATTCACAACCATAAGGGCCCCTGTACAATAAGTATAGGGCCCGGAGTATGGGGCCCCTGTACAATAAGTATAGGCCCGCAGTGGTCTTCAACTGGTGGGCCATGGGGTGGTTCTCAGGTGGGCCACGGACTAGGCCCTATAGTAAATGAAGAAAATAAGATAAAATAAGATAATAAAAAATATATACATTTTTTAAATGTCCGTGTCCCACCATCGATCTAACTATTTATCTATCTATCTATACATACATATATACTGGAGAGAGAGAATAAAGTTCAAGAAACCTTCAGCGCCTTAACGTATGAAGAATAGGATCGTTTCACGTTCAGTACGTGTCAGGGTTACCGTTGGTTTGCTGACAGCTCGCTCAGCCAGTCATGCAGTCATTCATTGAAAAATGCAAACGTTTCTATAAATTTGGGGGCCCACTGATGAGTTTGGCCTGGGGCCCACAAGTAGGTAAATCCAACCCTGCGTATGAATGAACATTTTGTGTCGTAGAAGGAATATTTAGGCTCAGGTTTTATTATCATGATTTTCTCCAGTATCTCGCCTTGGTGATTTTAACCTGTGAATAAAAAGGAATATCTTGTCCGACAACTTTTGGAATGAGGAAGTTTTTTGTTGTTTTAGTAAATGCATTGGTCTTGTTTTTGTCTTACCCACAGATTATGTTGTTGATATTTGTGAGAGAACAATGTAACAGGTATAATATTTGAGGTAAATGTGTATCATTTATGGGTTAGGGCATCTGTGACTACAGCGTGTGTATTAATGCGCATGAATAGTACTTGTATGAGTCGTTTTTCGATAAGATTGGGAATTAAATAGTTTTTACGTATTTGAAATAGTTTTATTTCGGCGAGGATAATGACAGATAAACAGGCAGACAGACAGGGATCGCGGCAGTACAAGGGTCCCTTCGCGTCCTACTGGCCAGTGATCGAATAAACACAAGCCCGCGCTCTTGTTTTGTTTTATTAGCGTTATCAGTTAATTCCCAGGAGTTATTCATGTATATTATGTGTCGGTGATCAGTAAGTGGGAGGAGTGATGTTCAGAGCTGTCTTTTGTGTTTGACTGTAATGAAGGATGTAGAGGTTTGATTTGATGATGGTAATGTGCGAGGTGACGTGGACAGGTGCTAGCGATAAAATAATACTGCGGGCGAAGGTCTGGAGTCGTAGTGGTGACAGCAGACGTGTGGAGGGATCAGTCAGTTGGTGTACAGAAAGAATCCCACTCGATGATAATGCCGGCCTCAGTATAAGTCAAAGTCGTCAATACCCCACCAGAACAGGTTTATTTTGAGATCTGAATACAATATGAGGTGAGATGGGCCAAATTTTCTACACGGTTATGAGTTCTTTGCCTGTTTAAGGTTGACACGTCCGGAAGCCACTTTTACTCTCCTTGGTATCTGCGGGGCTTTCAAGACTTTTTTTCCCCAGGTGTTACGTCTTGGGAGTGTGTGGGGGGGTACCAATAGCAGGTTGAGGCGGGTGGAGGGAGGTACAGTACCTGGTTCTGTGAGATACTGAAAGCTGTGTCAGACAGGCGGCATCTTACCTTATGCCTGGAGGCTACAGGTGAAACTTGACCACTTGCTTATCCAGGTAGAATCTGCCCTTATACTAGCGGTCTCGGTTAACCGTTTATATATATATATATATATATATATATATATATATATATATATATATATATATATATATATATATATATATATATATATATATATATATATATATATATATATATATATATATATATATATATATATATATATATATATATATATATATATATATATATAGATATATATGTGCTATTGGTCTATAGACAAAAATAATATTTCCTGGTCTTGATGGCAGTAATAGCTTACGGTAATGAATTTATTTATAATTAAATAATAAGTTTTGACTAACGTATTTTGTAAAGAAACCGAGAAACACTTTTGGGTGATTAGTCTGGTAGTTTGATGTATTATTACAGTATATACTCTGCATAGAGTAAACTTATAATGAATTATAATGGCAAAAGACACAAAAATCGAAGTTTATTATTACTGTATTATTATTACT